GTCTCTGTCTCTGTCTCTGTCTCTGTCTCTGTCTCTCTCTCTCTCTCTCTCTCTCTCTCTCTCTCTCTCTCTGTCTCTCTCTCTCTCTCCCTCTCTCTCTCTCTGATAAGGTCTCTGCTGCCCTACCTGTCCCGAAACCCACTCTGTAGTTCAGGCTGTTCTCAAATTCTTAGCAGTCTTCTTGCCCCTGCCTTCAAGTTCTGGAATGGCAGGTGTGAGCCATCTTAAAGAACACAGTTCAGTGGTTTTTGGCCTAAAGTTCTGGAATCATCGCCGTTACATGACGTGGGGGCATTGTTATTATTGGCCCAAAGGAAACTCTACCCATCAGCAGTCAGTTCCCACTCCCCACTGCCCTGACCCTTGGCAACCACTCCCCCGCGTCTTGCCTGTGCGGATTTACCTGCTGTGGACACATCAAACATCAGACTCATGCCGTATGTGACCTTTAGCATGGCAGTTGGAGCCCATTCTGTAACATGCGTCCCAGGTCAGCCTTGCTCAGCAAACTATCCCTCAATTGCTAGCCCATGGTGGAGCTGTCTGTTCCCAGCACCTGAGACATAGACCCTTGGGACTCAGCACACATTCCTCTGAGGCCCACAGACTAATGGCTGCTCACTGAGTCATTGGCTTGTCTGATACATACTTAAAGAACACTCATTGTGTCTTGGGAGAATGTTCTGCAGACACATTAGCAGGAAAAACAGGCAAAAAAAACCCCAAAAAAACCAAAAAACCCTAAACCAAACCAACCAATCAACTAAGCAAAAAACAAAACAAAACAAAAAAAACCCCCAAAAACCAAAAAAAAAAAAAAACCAAAAAAACAAAAACCTTGCTTTTGTGGCACTTATGTGCCTCTGAGTATGTGTCTGTCTGTCATAACCAGCATCATAAATAATAGTACGTCAGAAACAAAAACCATGGAGTAGCCAGATCTGGGCAAGAGAGCCCTGGAGATGAGAGCTGGGCTGTGGTGGGACCTCACCAAGCAGGCAGCATCCAACCAAGGCTGCTCTTTTGACATAGTACCTCGTGTTCACGTTGATGCTGAGGACACATTTTTCCATGATTTTTTTTGGCTTAAAATAGATTAATTCATTTATTCAACAAGTGTTTGCTGAGAATACACTTGGCTCCCAACTGTATTTTAGGCCTTGGCTCAAATGTCAACTCTTCATGAGGCTTTCCCTTCCAAACCTACGTCCAGTTTTCCTGTTGTAATTCATAGTTTATATTAAAGTTAAAAATGACTCTAAATTGTCGTCTCTCCATCTTGAAAAATTGAAAAAACATTATTTTCTGAACATTTCGCACTTGTGTGTGATGCATCTTGATTGTATCCACCCCTCACTGCCCCTCCAACGTCCCCCAGGGTACCCCATCGCATTTATCTCTGCTCTCCGCTGTGGGTGTGTGATGCTACCAGTTGCTTTGAGTTTCTTACTATGACTTTCCCACCACAGTGGCCTGGAATCTGAAATTGTGAATTGATCAAACCATTTTCCCAGGGTGTGTTTTTTTTTTGTTTTTTTTTTTAATCACAGAAGGAGAAACGGAAATAGTACTCTGCCTGAGTTTGCCCTGTTGGCTGTTGTCAGAGCTGTGGCAGGACGGCCCTTTGTCTTCTCGAGGATGTCAGGTGGGAGCATGTCAGCTCCAGCCCCACACTGTGTTGGCCGTGGGTCATCGACAGACTCCATCCTGCAGTATACCCTCCATAGTGTGTCTTTCATCCTCACCCACTTTTAGGTTCATGTCTAGGAAAAGGGTCCCAAGAACAAGCAAGCCTGGGCCACAGACAACCTCTGGTGTCCCATTTTTCTAGAAAAATCTCATTTGGGGAAGTTGCCACCATCTCTGGTGGCCCAGAACTATTCATAAGTTGGTGGGGAGCCAGGCACTGAGGAGGCAGAGGCAGGTGGATCTCTGAGTTCAAGCCCAGCCTGGTCTACAGAGTGAGTTCCAGGACGGCCAGAACTACACAGAGAAACCCTTCAAAAACAAAAGCCAAAAAAAAAAAAAAAAGGAGGAGGAGGAAGAGAAGTAGTTGTTGAAGTTGTTGTTGGGGACAAAAGAACAGTCTATGTAAATGACAGGATGTCATTCCCCATTTTTATTTCCTTCTCTTTCTCTCCTTCCTTCTCTTCCCTCTACCATACATCACCATTATCATCATTGTGAGTGATGCAGGGACTGGTGTCTAGATGTGGTCCTTGGGGACAAGCTGATGGGTTGGTCCTCCCCATGACTTTCTTTCTCACACACATGTTTGAGCTGCAGCCACATGGTGCACCTCAACCCCGTCTCAGGAGTCCCCAGGGACGTAGGGAGGGGGCTAACCTGTACTATAGGGTTATACTTCCCCCCAGAGATGGAGACTTATGCTCCAGCCTGAGATGCTGTATGCCTGAGCTTGCCCAACACATAGACTCCTGCACATGCCCACTCCTACTGCATAAACATACACTCTTGCACATGCCCACTCACACCCATACACCCCGCCACATATACACACCCTTGCACAAACCCATTTACATCCATATCCAGTCCCCTACACACACACACACACACACACACACACACACACACACACACACACACACACACTTCTGAGCATGCCCACACACTCTCACACAAGCCATGCATGCTCATTTCATGGGCACTTGCTGGCTGCGTTACGACCACCTTGTGGCTGGCACTTGGATGCTGGTTTCTCAACGGCAGCCATCATTATTAAACTGAGACTCAATGAGCTCTTTTCTCAGTTTTTCAAGGCTTATCAAGAGTGGATTGGGAGCAGGTAAAATTAATAGTTATGAGCCAATTTCCATATAAATGAACTTATTAGAAAGTACCCTAGCTGCCTGAATTAGATTTCCTTCTGGTTTGAGAGAAAATACTAAAAACCAAAAAACAAAAACAAAAAACAACACCCCCCACCCCAAAAATAAGTAAAGCCCTCATAGCAATGACTCCATAGTGACTGCCTTTCTATTCACAGCTGGTTGGTTGTGGACAGCTCCTGCATCTGGACCAACTCATAGGCTGGAGAGTCAGGGAGTAGCAGGATGTGCATAGTTTAGAGGGTGATCCAAATGTCTCACCCAACAGGACTGCCTATTCTCCTTGCTCGCCTCAGAGCTCACACACATCTCTAGCAGGGATGACACATGGAACCTTCTCCATTGCCCCATTGCTGGTTCCTCAAAGGTAGCTGCCATTATTAAATGCTGAGAGACTTCCCTGGTTCTGAGAGAAAGAGAAGGTTCCATCTTGTAGGATAGAGCATCCCTTATAGGAGACACACGGATAAACACCATTGCCACATCCAGGCATTGAACGCCATCTTTGGGACCTCTTGAAACAGGAGGACAGCCTAGAGTTCAGTGGTCCTCACTCCTTGTTTCATACCAGTTGTTGGTGTGGGGAAGCTGTCCATGGAAAGAGATTTATCTCGGTGAAGCAGCAGGCAGTAGGTTCTTTTCCCTAATGTTTGAACAACTGGGACACCAGAGGCAGAGCTTGTGAGGTTCCATGAGGCGGGGTAGAGGTCCCGAGCCCCCTTTAGGCCAAACAGACCCAGCAGCAGAGAAGGCACAAGATGGTCTGGGGGGACTCAGACTGTGGGGAGCTGGGGAATCAGCTTCCCTGCCGTCATCCTCCTGGGGTCCCAGTCAAGTTAGATGCAGGGAGATGGCAAGAGGCTTACAGGATAGGGTCCACTCACAGACCTGTGCTTTCAGCATTTTGTTCTCCTCTGTCTTTGGTAGATGATTTCCGGAGCAGTAGGTAGCCTTTATTTACCAAGAGTTCTTGTGTACAGGAGTATGTATGTATGTGTGTATGTATGTACGTACGTATGTACGTACGTATGTATGTATGTATGTATGTATGTATATATGTATGTATGTATGTATGTATGTGGGATGGGTATGGGTGTGAGTGGGCATGTGCAGGGGTGTGTGTGTGTGTGTGTGTGTGTGTGTGTGTGTGTGTGTGTGTGATGAATCAAGGCAGATAGGTGGGATTTTTGTACAGTATATTGAATCCAATTTGGGGCTGATGAAACACAGTCCAGTTTAACCTTCCTGTCACTCAGTTTCTATAGTACCCGTATTATCTTTTCTAACCGTCGATCTCACGTTGATCCCACAAGCCCATAACATCACCATCACTCTGTAAAGCCTGGAGAGTTTGAGCCAGGGGCTCATGAGCTACAGGGTAATTTCACAAACTGATCAAAAGCTGTGCCTCCTGGACCAGAGGGGTGGGGAAGCTGTGTCAAATGGTGCTGGGCTTTCCCTGAGTGTGACCTGATGGTGCTGTGGGGGTGTGTGGAAGGCAGAGAGCTATGCAAGGCATGCCCAGAGATGTGACAAATCTAGGCTCTTGTATCCTTTTTTTTCTTTTCTTTTTGTCAACTCGACATAAGCTAGGGTCATCTAGGAAGAGGGGACCTCTATTGAGAAAATGCTTCCATCAGATTGGCCTGGGCATTTCCTTGATTAAATGGTTGATGTGGGAAGGCCTGGCCCACTATGGGTGGTGTCACCCCTAGGCAGGTGGTCTTGGGGTGTATAACAAAGCAGGCCAAGCAAACCAGCAAACAGCATTCCTCCATGACCCTCCGCTTTATTTCCTGCCTTCAAGTTCATGCACCGACTTCCCTCTATGATGGACTGTGAGCGGTAAGCTGAAATACTCCCTCCCACCTCTCCGCCATATTGCTTTATGCCATGATGATTGTCACAGCAGTAGAAAGCCAACTAAGACAGGACCTCACTCAACAAAGGATACTTCTTCTTTAGGGGAGGGTTGCACAACCACTCTGAGCTGCTGCCACCCAGGGGTAGCCCGTGAATGAGTCTCCATCCTCTCTACCAGTCAATCTAACTCCTCATTGACAAAGAGGACTGTGGCTACTTCCAGGCTTCTTTGCTTTCTGAAGAATCACGCGCGTTATGCTAAACCTTGTCATGTTGTCTGTTTTCCAGGGCAAATGGCTCCTACTATGAGATTCTGCAAGTGGACTTCGGCGTTGACAACAGCAGTGGCCTGGCTGGGGCCCAGCAAATCACCTGGCAGGTGGAATACCCTGTGGAAGACTCCATGAGCGAGCTCTTCGTCTCTGAGATCTTCATCAGCCAGACGACCTTTGTGGGCATTGTCCCTCTTGCTATGGTAAGAAACCAGAGCTCGTGATGATGAGCCATGAAGAAACTTCCTCTGTGTATTTTTTTCCCTTTGTCATCTTCGTGGACATAAGTATGTGGGTGTGCCTATGTGTGCATGCATGTGGATTCCCTTGGCTCATGCCAGGATTATCCACTGTGGCTCTTCTTCCGTCTTATGCAATGAGTCAGGGTCTTTCAATCAAACACAGAACTTGCTGATAATGTCCAGTTTCTTGAGTCAATTTGCTCTGGGGAACCCCGTCTCTGCCTTCCCAGGCTAGAACCACTCTTGGGTCTCCTCACCCACCAGGTACTTGCGTGGGGACCCGGGGATTTGAACTCCAGTCCACACATATACACGACAAGCACTTTAACCACGGAGCCATGCCCCGGCGCCTCCTCTTAATACTTAAATCACTCAAAGAAACGTGAAGTGTCTTTGAGCCTATCATCCCTCACACACTTGGTGTGCACTATTTGAACAAGGGAAATATACTTAAACAGTGTTTTATTTACCTGCTTTCCATAAGGGCTCCTGGGAAGCCATTTAGGATTTACTGTATCAATCTCTTCATCTGTGGTGTTGCCGAGTGGCTCCTGGGGACCCCTTCTCTTTCATCGCTTCCATCTGTGTTCGTATCAGGTCCAAGTGCTATACTTGGGGAAGACGGTTTCACTGAAGCATGTTGTGAGTGTGTGCAGGGGACGGAGGCTCCAGAGGCCCAGGAACCAGCCCGTTGTCACTTGGCACTGCCCTGAGCACCCCCAGGTGGCCCGGGGATTGGCAAAGTTTAAAATGCAGATGGACTAAAAGAGCCTTGTTGGGAACAGACCAGCTGAAGCTGGACAGGGTCCCAGTGCCCATTAAACTGCCCACATGTCCTGCCCTGTTGGCATGGCAGGGATGGCATTTCTTCCTTTGAGCATGTCTGGGACCCTGTTCATATAAGGCTCAGGAGCCACAGTTGAGAACAGGGTCATGGGTTGAAATCCAGTTCCTCAGAAGCATGATGATGGTAGGCACACACTGGAAATATTAAATATTTTTTTTTTTTGGCGCTGCTTGGACCTACCTATATTGGACCTAAATGCAGGGGAGTCCACATCCAGATATTCTGGGCCACTGGTGGCTGAACACACGACCCCAGTGCTCCAGTCTCAGCTGCTAGTCATCTTGGTTTTAAAGACCAGTTCATCATAGTGACATGCATTTGGCTCCGTGGCAGCCACAGCTTGGCCGGAAACCACTTGTTCAGGAGCAGCGATGGGTGGACCTGAGTTCTAGGGGGAAGCAGAGTTTTCCTGCTGCTCCTCTCTCTGGGAACACACCTGTCAATTCTCCAGCTCACCCTGCAAGTGAGCCTGGCGTGGCTGATCTCTTTTCAGGGCCATTGTGGCTTTGCTCCATGTATGATTGACTACACCCGCTTCCCCACAAGTTCCGAAGCCTGGCATGGGACAGGACTGGATGCCGAAGGGGTGCACCTCACTGTCTTCAGAGGCAGGTGCCGGTTCCCAGGGGGAGCTGTGGGTTGACACGTGCTTATCTGATAGGAGGGTGGAATCAGGTCAAGATACCAGGGTTGGCTAAGTGCAGTCCTCAGGCCAAATCCAGGCCGATGGTGCCTGTTTTAGCAAATAAAGTATTATGGGAACATGAGCCCACTTAGGATGAGTCACCTGTGGCTACTTGGGTGCTGTGACGAGGCTGTATATTTGCAGTCAGGCATGCATCTCTGGCTGGCGTTTAATTTTAGCATCCTGTAATGAGTAGCATTTGGAGATGATTCCTGAGGATGGAGCTGCTAAGAGGCTTTGGGGAAATCTTGTCTCTTGCATTAGGGATCATTTCCCCGAGATCTGTACCAAAAAACGCTCCTACCCTCTTTGGCCAGTGGTTCCATGTCCTTTCTCAGATGCAACCGGAAACCCGGGCTGGTGTGTCACTGATGAGTTGGTCCCATGGTAGGGACAGAATGGAACTGGGGGGTGAGGATCTGGCTGAACACAAGGGGAATGAAGGCAGGGAAAACAGACTGGTGCGAGGCTGGCCAGACACCTGTCCTTTCCATAGCCTTCCTCTCATGGCCAGGCTGGTGGAGCAGCATGCCTCTCATGTGGACGGACATCATGTGGCTCATATGGGGCTTGTTCCTCTCCCTTATCTGTCTCCAGTGCCTCCTCCTAGCACACTTTGAGCCTCCTGCATCCCTTGGAGGTACCGGTTTATATCCCATGCATCTTGCTCTGCTGTGACTCTTCACGTCTCTCCGTGTGGCTGAGTTTCACTTAGGGACACTTCCTTGCTTTTGACTTCGCTTGCCATTGGCGGGAAAGTGGGTCAGTTGCATGTGTCATGGCTTGGTTCCCCGTGAAGGGCTCGGAATGACTCCAGGTGGGGGGTGAGGGATGGCTGAGCTTGCTCAGTAGAGTTTCCTAAGGATTCGATGAGTTGCTCTAGGTGAAGTGTCTGCACGCATTAATATTAATAAAATTTCCATAATTGTCAGCATGTTAATTAGCATATACAGGGAAAGCTGCCAAATGTGAGAACAAATAGAAGTTGGATCTCAGGCTAGGAGGTAAGGTGGCACTTCTCTTAGAGGTTTGGATGTTGAATTTCCCAAAAGGATCAAGTGTGGGAACACTTGGTCCCCAGTAGGTGGCGCTGTTTCAGGAGGCTATGGAGGCTTTAGGAGGTGGGGCCTGGCTGGAGGAAGTATGTTGCTGGGGATAGAGGTTTATATCCCACTTCCGGTCCCTCTCTGCTGCTGAGATGTGAGTATGGAGTGTTGAGCTTCTGCTAGCACACGATTTGGCCTTGCCTCTGTACATCCCCTGCCATGGTAGACTATTATCCCCTCAAGCTGTGGGCTGAAATGAGTCCTCTTCCTTCAGCCCACTATTTCCAGTTACTTCATTACAGCAATGAACAAAGACACTGATATCAAAGGCGCTCAGTTTGCTGTTGTGGGTGAGGCTTTTTCTGGGGAGACTCAACCCACAAGTTTCCATACCCAAGATAGGGGTGAGACAAAAAGCCGTGACTGCACCAAAGTCCAACTTGGGGGACTGTCTCCACACCACGTACCAGCACTGACATTCTTCCCCTCTGAAACCTCTAGAGCTGGGCCTGCAGTACTGCTGTCTTCCTTGTCCCAGCTAGGATGGCCCATTAAGCCGTGCTTAAAACATTCAACTGCTATTTGTTGTCCAAATTCCCAAAGCCTTCCATATTTCTCCAACAAACAGCAGGGTCAGGCCCATCACAGCAATACCCTACTCCTGATACCAACTTCTGTCTTAGTTACTGTTCTATTGCTGTGAAGAGACACCATGACCAAGGTACCTCTTATAAAAAAGAAAGCATTCAATTGTGGGCTTGCTTACAGTTTCGGAGGATTAGTCTGTGCCATTATGGTGGGAAGCATGGTAGCAGATAGGCAGGCATGGTGCTGGAGAAGTAGCTGGGAGCGTCACAACCTGATCTGAAGGCAGTAGGCAGACAGTGTAGAGGAGAGAGAGGAGGGAGGAGAGAGAGAGGAGAAGAGAGAGATAGAGGGGAGAGAGAGGAAAGTAGAGAGAGGGGAGAGAGAGAAGAGAGGAAGAGGGGAGGGGGGAGAGAAGGGAGATGGGAGAGGGGGAGGAGAGGAGGAAGAGGGAGGGAGGGGAGGAGAGAGAGAAGGAGAGAGAGACAGAGACAGAGACAGACAGAAGGGCCAACCATGGGCTTTTAAAACCTCAAAGCCCACCCCTAGTGACACACTTCCTCCAATCAGGCCACACCTCCTAATCCTTCCCAAACAGTTCTTCTCCCTGGTGACTAAGCATTCAAACATATGAGCCTATGGGGGCCATTTTCATTCAAACATAGGAACCAGTAAGTTTATTGGGGTTTGAACAGCAGTATGGGTGAGGGGTTAATTATAGGAGCAGGGATAACTCATCACTGAAAAATCTACCCCAGTGCCAGTGACGGCTCATGGAAGCTGCAACCCTGGGGCTCTTTGCAAGGCTTGCAGGCAGCTGGATGGTCTGCTTGTCTCCTCCAGGCAGCTCAGCAGGGAGTCTGTTCCTCTTGCAGGTGTTGACTGCTTCTAAATCTTGGGGTCCTCCAGAATCTTATACATTTCTACTTTCCCAGAAATGTGAAGTTTGCCTACTTCCTGAGTCTCATGAGCCTCCTGCACCTTCTTAGAGTATACAACCCTTAGGGAGCCAGACACAGCCACAGGGTGGGTGGGAATCCAGTGTGCCCCAAGATTCATTTACTGCCAAGGAAAGTCAAGGAAGACTGGCGGCGGGGCGGGGGCAGTCTGTATGATTCTTAAAGGTGGTTGATATTGGCTAGCAGGACAGGAAGACCTTTAAGGCCGAGGAGCAATAAGGTGTTTGGGAAGGCTAGTACAAGTGTGTGTGTGTACATGGCAGTCCAGGGCTGCAAGTGAGGTGGCGTGGCTGCCACTTAAGCACAGGGAAGGTGAGGCAGGATGGGGAAGGAGGCAGCCATGTTGGGTTCATCTGCTATACTGTGATGTCAGAACCCTGATCTAGGGTTATTATTTATTTGTCTAATTTCTTGGATCACAGTACATTTATTGACCCACAAGTATTTATCAGAGTTTTGGTAAGTTTTGTGTTCTCTACCTCCAAGGACCTTATAAAAGGTTCTGAAGGAAGTTGTCTTCCATCCCTTCCTCTCTTTGTCTTTCATCCTTTCTGCCCTGTGAAGATGCAGCCTCTCATTTTTCTCCAGAGGACACAGCCACAAGGCGCCATCTTAGAAACAAAGAGACCGGATGGATCTTCACAGATATGGAACCCAATAGCAGTCTGATCTTCTCAGCTCCTAGAAGGAGAAGGAAATTTCTGTTCTTTATAAGGTATCCAGCCTCAGGTATCTTGCTACAGCAGCACAGATGGACCAAGACGCCTGTAGTGTGCTGAGGCTTGCATTAGATCATGTGAAGGCAGACTTATCAATAACTAAATATCGATTTATATAGC